CTGCTGCTGCTGCTGCTGCTGCTGCTGCTGCTGCTGCTGCTGCTGCTGCTGCTGCTGCTGCTGCTGAGGAATCTGATTTGGCAGGGGTTGACAAGCGGCTGATAGGCTCTTTGAGGCAGCGGGAGGTTCTTTGCTGCTGCGAGGGAGATTTTTGCTGCTGCTGATGGTCTTTTTGCTGCTGCTTAGGGGAGTTCTTTGCTGCTGCAGAGGGCTTATTTGCTGCTGCGAAAGAAGTGGTTCTTTTGCTGCTGTCTTATTTGCTGCTGCGAAAGAAGTGGTTCTTTTGCTGCTGTCGAGGGATTCTTTGCTGCTGCTCATGGCTTCTTTGCTGCTGTCGATGCCTTCTTTGCTGCTGCTTCTGTCTCTATTGCTGCTGCTGCTGTATCCTCTGTTGCTGCCTCTGCTTCCTCTGCTGCTGCTGCTCTCTGATTTGCTGCTGCTGCTGTCTCGCACTTTCTATGCCCAAAGACTCTAGAGCTGCTGCAGTGCTTTTTGCTGCTTTTTGCTAAATAGATATTTAAAATAATTCAAAACCATTTTAGAGAATCCAGAAAAGACAGGCTAAACATTTACATTATGGCCGAGGCCCTAGGGGCCCCAGGGGCCCCCAGGGGCCCCCTGAGGGGCCCCCTGTGGGGCCCCCTGAGGGGCCCCCTGAGGGGCCCCCTGAGGGGCCCCTGAGGGGCCCCCCGTGGGGCCCCAAGGACCAACGAGCTTCTCCCCCTGGAGGCCCGGAGGGGCCCCAGAAGGAGCTTTAGACAGCTAGGCCCCCCTGCTTTTGATAAGTGCTGAAACCCGCCTCCGCTGCTGCTGCTGCTGCTGCTGCTGCTGCTGCTGCTGCTGCTGCTGCTGCTGCTGCTGCTGCTGCTGCTGCGTTGCAGGAGCGTTTGACGCTGCACGTGCGGCAGTGCCAGCGGCACGTGCGGGTGCAGGTGCTGCGGCAGGGAGTTGTGGGGTCGGAAGTTGTGGGGGAAGCAGCAATTCGAGTGAAAGCAGATTTAATTGATTTGGGATTTCCCAAAAGACAAAGCTACGCACTTCTGCACGAGGGCAAGGTCGCCTGCAAAGCCATCGTGAGACGCCCGCCACGCAGCAGCAGCAGCAGCAGCAGCAGCAGCAGCAGCAGCAGCAGCAGCAGCAGCAGCAGCAGCAGCAGCAGCAGCAGCAGCAGCAGCAGCAGCAGCAGCAGCAGCAGCAGCAGCAGCAGCAGCAGCAGCAGCAGCAGCAGCGGCAGCAGCAGCAGCAGCATAGCAGTAGCAGTAGCAGCGGAGAAGGCGCCACTGCACGGAGACAGTCTGCTGCGAAGGGGAGGGGCCGCAGCTGCTGGGGCGGCACGGGCGTAGAGTTTAGTGTTGGGGGGTTTAGGGTTTAGGGTTTAGGGTTTAGGGTTTAGGGTTTAGGGTTATTAGCCGTGCAGCGCAGGGAGTTGAGAGTTTCGGGTTTGCGCGAGGGAGCCTCCGTGTGGGTGGTTTAGGGTTCGGAAGCCCGAGCGCGGGCGGGCCTAGGGTTTAGGGTTTAGGGTTTAGGGTTTAGGGTTTAGGGTTTAGGGTTTGCGCAGCTGTCGTTTCACCGGCTGGACACTTCGCACGTGAGTCTGGGGGAGTTCCAGATGTCGCCGCTGATCCACCAAGCCCTGCTGCATGCGCAGTACGAGGCGGAGAGTCGCGGAGAACATTTGAAGTTGGACATTTCCAACATGAGTGAACTTCAAAGACTTCGTTTTTTCGCCAAAGTCCTCGAGGGGCCCCTCAAGCTCATGACGGGGCTGGGGGCCTCCTGGGCCCCCCTCTACTTCAAGGCCACGGAGCGCCGCAGCGGCAAGTGGGAGTGGCAGTACTGGAACTCCAAGGAGGAGTGCCTCGTGAGCCCCCCTGCATGCATGCATGCATGCATGCATGCATGCATGCATGCATGCATGCATGCGCGCATGCATGCATGCATGCATGCATGCATGCGTGGGTGCATGCGTGCATGCGTGCGTGAGTGAGTGCGTTTGTTCGTGCGCGGGGCTTCTGTGCGTGGTGCTGTTGCTGCTGCTGCTCCCGCCGCCGCTGCTGCTGCTGCTGCAACTGCTGCTGCTGCTGCAACTGCTGCTGCTGCTGCTGCTGCTGCTGCTGCAGGCCGGGGAGAAGAAGAAGGGGGGCTATTCGTTTTTGGCAATAAGTTTGGTGCTGCCGGACAAGTACGACCGGAACACTTTCTACGTGAGGTACCACAACCAAAAAGGAGTTCAAGACTTGTTTTTTCGCAGAGTGGACCGGGACCGGAACTTGTGGTCCAATGGTCTTTACGAGTTCATTGAAAAGCTGCGGGAGTATTTGGAGAAGTCCCCGGAGTTGCCAGCAGCAGAGGCTTACTTGGAGAAGAAGCGGCAGCTGGAGGCGGGCAGCAGCAGCGAGAAGCAGCGCAGCAGCAGCAGCAGCAGGGCCGCTCGCGCGGCCCGCAGCAGCAGCAGCAGCAGCAGCAGAAGCAAAACCCAAGACCTCTCCGACATCAAACGCATTGCCAGCCCCAGACAAACAGCAGCAACAGAACAAGAGAGGCCTCGAGTTGCTGCTCTCAAACGCAGAATGGTTGAGGGTTTGATGGTGGAGTCTGTCACTGACGACAGCAACGACGAAGACCCCGACTCCCCCCCTGCAGCAGCAGCAGCAGCAGCAGCAGCAGCAGCAGCAGCGGAGGGGGGGGGCGCAGCAGCGCAGAACACCGCTGCCACACCCACGCTCAACGAAGAACCAACCAAAAGCTTCAGCTCCCAAGACTGAGCAGCCGCAAGCTGCAGCAAACAGCAAAATGCAGCGCAGCAGCAGCAGCAGCAGCAGCAGCAGCAGCAGCAGCAGCGGGGGCTGCTGCACACATGTGGGCGCTGGCGCAGCTGCTGCTGAGGGGGCCTTTTTAGATGGGGAGCTTGTGCCCAAAGAGCTGGCAATAGGAAATAAATGCATGCGCGAATAAATAAACAAATATAAATGTTATATTTAAATAAATATAATCCAAAAAAGAAGTTGTGTCTTTATTCTCCGCTCTCCGCCTTTCGTCTAGACTGCAAGTGGGCGCTGGGGTGTACGTACACCCCACCGAGCGCATGCAAGAGCGGCCTGCAGGCTCAGGTGTACAGACACTGGGAGGGTCTTTTTGGGATTAGCAGTTTCCTTTCTAGTTGATTAAAGCAGCTCTGAGATAATATATATTGTGCGTACACATGCATATATATATTTTATTTAAGTAAATATATTTATTTATATCCACTTTATTTAAATAAATATATTTATTCATTTGTGCATGCATGCATTTGGGGCTGGCTGTACAGACACAAGCGCATGCGCTCTCGCCCTATTTTCAGGTGTACGTACACTCGCCCTTCAGCTGCAAATCCACACTTGAGCCTCAAGGCTCAAATAAATTTGCATGCAAAATGATGCATGCAACTTGCATGCATGCAACTTGCATGCATGCATAGGCCGGTAGCACTAGCCTTTGTGTGTATATATATCTTCTTGCGCATGCAGCCCCACCAAATGTGCCATTTGTCCTTAAACCCGTTCAAACCCCAAACCCTAAACCCCTAAATAGGGTTTATTTCCGGGGTGAGAGTGTTTGTTGCATGCAAAGGGTTTAACCGATGCAGAAAAAACATTTGCCATTTGCTGCTGCTGCTGCTGCTGCTGCTGCATTTGCTGCTGTGGGGCCCGGCCAGCAGCAGACGCCGGGTGTATGTACAGCTCAAACAAAGCCCCGGCCCTAAACCCTGCTGCTCTTCGGCTTTTCTTTTTCTTCATTTTTATTTAGAACTTTTTATTCATTTCTGGAGAAGGGAGCCCCAGATGCAAAGTGCAAACGCATCCGCCTAGCTAGGGTTTAGGGTTTAGGGTTTGGGGTTTAGGGTTTAGGGTTTAAGGTTTAGGGTTTAGGGTCTAGGGTCTAGCGTTTAGGGTTTAGGGTTTAGGGTTTAGGGTTTAGGGTTTAGGGTTTGGGTCTATGGTGCGCGTCGCGCAGCGGCGGTGTACGTACAGCTCAGCGCGAGCCTGAGATGCAGTGTATGTACAACTCAGCGCAGCCAATGTCTGAAGTTTTTGCTGCTGCAGCAATGCTGCTGCAGCAATGCTGCTGCAGCAATGCTGCTGCAGCAATGCTGCAGCAGCAAAATGGCAGAACTTAAAAAGTGTTTGTTTATATATAATGAGAATAGTTTTGTCGTTTGAGGGTTTGGAGTATTTTATGAGGGCTTGCTGCCAGTTGAGGGTTTAGCGGCGCGTTAGGGTTTAGGGTTTAGGGTTTAGGGTTTAGGGTTTGGGAATTAGGGCTTAGGGTCTAGGGTTTAGAGTTTGACTCCCTCTCCATTGAGTCGATTTGTTGTGTCTATACTGCTAATGTATCTGTACAGCATAAAAGAGAATATCCGCCAAATTAGGGTTTAGGGTTTAGGGTTTGGACTGCAGGTAGCCTTGTGCTGAAGCGCCACAATGCGGAATCGCCGCAGAATTAGAAATCAGTCTAAACCCTAAACCCTAAACCCTAAACCCTAAGCCCTAGTTAGACGAATATGCGCGTTGTTTCACTCCGTTTCTTATTTTAAAATGATTTATTTGGTTTCGTTTTCTTGTTTCAAGTTGTTTCTCCTGCTGAGAATTAATATCATTAACCTTTTTTAGTTTAAAAATTACTTTTATTTGTTTTTTATTTATTATTCAAATTATTTTTTCAAGTAAATAAACTTGAATTTTGTTTGGTGGCCTTTGTGGGGGACAAGGGGCCAAAAAGAAGTGTCTTGGCCCGCAAACTCTAAACCCTAAACCCTAAACCCTAAACCCTAGATCGTGGAGCAGAGCGTGCACATTAAATTAATCTCCTGAGCGCTACTTATATATCAGAAAATCTAATTTTACTTAAATGATCTGTTCCTAATTAATTAAATAAATTAAAAACTAATTAAATTAATTGAAAACTAATCAAATTAATTTTAAATTAATCAAATCAAGGAAACTTTCTAAAAACACATTTCTCTGGGAGTTTCAGACAAGGCGAATTCAACTCAAGTGCAGAAAACGTCAAGAGGATCCGTTCAAACTTCAAAGTAATGAAAACAAAATAAAATTAATTTAATTTAATTTAATTTATATTTAAAAGTATTTATTTCTCTCAGTTTTATTTATTTATACTCCGAGCAAAAGCATCTGCAAGATCTGATCGGGGCCCCTGCAGGCAGCGGCTGACCACCGCCGACGCTCCTCAACTGCAGCTTTCTCGGGGGAAATTTCTTTTTTTTTCGCCAATTTCGAAACATTAAATGAAATAAATAAAAATAAATAAACCTGCGAAGTTTATTTAGCCGAGAACTTCGCCAGGGAGGCGCAGAAAGCCGAGCAGCTCGTGGGGCTGTGTTGGGAGCCTCAGCTGCGCGCTGGCCGCAGGGGGCCCTTGTTCTTCGTTTCTAGCGGCTAAAAACTCGAAAATGGCTAAATTAATGGTTTTATTTCTCATTTATAAACTTAAAATCTCCTAAAAACACCCCAAAGTGGAGCTTTCCGCCAGCCGCGTGGGAGGCTGGTGTACATACACCAGGCTGGGGTGTCTGGTGTTGCATGTGCAGAAGCTGCAGTGAGGCTCAGGGCTCTTATGACTTCAAATCTTTTTCTCTTTTTGACTTTTACGAATTAATAGAACAGTTTTGTCTTTGGGAAATGTTTTAATCTTTTTTTTCCGCGTTTCCAGCAGCGCCGCGGGTGTGCCACCCCTCAGCGGCGCTCTGCGCTGCGGCTGCGGCGCTTCCCGGAAAGCTGCGGCGCCGCCGCGTCAAATGAAGAATTAAAATTAAATTTTGAATTAAAAATTCGAAAAGAAAAGTCGAAAAACTTTGAAATGCGGGACTTGTGAGTTGGGCTCGCCGCTGCGCACACCAGTGGTCTGGGGGGGTGTTGGGGGTTTGAAGTGTTCGTTTTTGGCCATTTTTCGAGCTTTTTGGGACTTTCAAAATGGATTTAAGAGCTCTTGACGATCCCCAGCCCCTCGAAGTCAGTTCTATTGATGATATTCACGTTTTGGCGGGCTGGGAGCACTGGCTGAAGTTGTCTTTTTCCACTGCGGACCTCCACATCACCCGCGGCTGGAGCCTGGTGTCCCGGGCCACCGAAGTGGCCTTCGAGGCCCACGCCCGGGTGAGCACTGCCCTTCAATTTCCCTTCAAAGCCCCAAATTCGAGTCCAAAAGTCCCCCTTTTTGCATGCATGCATTGCATTTCTTGCATGCACATTGCATGCATTTATTCCCCCCTTATTCCCGGCTCAAAGCCCCAAATTCCGGGCCAAAAGCCGCTTTTTTTGCATGCAAAACGCGCAACTTCTGCTGCGCACGCGGCGCAGCAGCGCAGCAGCAGCAGCAGCAGCAGCAGCAGCAGCAGCAGCAGCAGAGCTTCTGGCGGGTCGTTTTTGCTGCTGCTTGGCCTCAGGCGCTGCGGGGCCCCGTGGTTTACTCCTTCTTGGATGCTGACAGTCTTCCAGAACCCGAGGGCCTCGAAATGGCATTAAAAGGAAAAAGATTTGCATGCAATTGGACCCAAATTGCTTTTCCCACGGGGGCCCTGGAGGCCCCCAGGGCCTTCGCAGCAAACCCCGCGGGCTCCTTCCGAGTGCTGCTCTGCAAGCTGGCCACCGGCAGCACTTTGCCGCACCACGAGGCCGAAGGCGAGGGTTTAGGGTTTAGGGTTTAGGGTTTAGGGTTTAGGGTTTGGGGTTTGGGGTTTGCGGTTTGGGGTTTAGGGTTCAGGGTGGGGGGGTTGGGTTTGCGCTTTGGGGTTTGGGGTTTAGGGTTCAGGGTTCAGGGTTTGCGGTTTGGGGTTTGGGGTTGGGGTTTGGGGTTGGGTTTAGGGTTTAGGGTTTAGGGTTTAGGGTTTAGGGTTTAGGTTTTAGGGTTTGTTGAGACGCAGGGGATTTTTTCACGCGGGAGATTCCTGCGGCTTACTCTTCTTTGGCCTTGGTGGAGTCTTCGCCGGCGACGAATGAGTCAAAGCAAGCCAGCTTTATATTTTAAATTAATTAAATTAAATTAATTTATTTAAATTAATTTATTTAAATTAATTTATTTAAATTAATTTATTTAAATTAATTTATTTAAATTATTTAAATTTATTTATTTTAGTTTATTTGCTTTTAATCTAGTTGTGCTTTTTCTTCCGTTTTGGTTGATGGCCCCTGCTGAGGTGTACAGACACCTGCGCCCCACAAACGCATGCATCCTGCTGCAGTGTCTGTACAGCCCGTGCATGCACCCGCCCGCCTCCCACACAAACAACATATATATAAATATATATGTATATATATGTTTATATAAATATATACATATATATACATGTTTATATATATAAAAAATATATATATATATATATATATATGTATATAAACAAATAATATATATATATATATTTAAATATATGTATACTACTACCGCTGCTGCTGCTGCTGCTGCTGCTGCTGCTGCTGCTGCTGCTGCTGCTGCTGCTGCTGCTGCTGCTG